TTTGCTTCTGTTTACCTCAAATTCTCCATTCTTTCACAATTCAGAACCCCTTTCATTCTCCGCTACATTGGGCTGGATCTTCCAACATCAACTAATAAGTCATTGAGACTCTCTTCTCAAGCGATTCTATAGTTCCCAGTTGACAAAGCTAACCAGCATACTTAAGGTTTCCACAGCATATAATCACTGCTCCCAACACATATTCTCTAAATCCAGCTTAGGTCATTGTCTCACGAAATGGTATTTGAATTTATCATGCTGGAACATCTGTGGTGTTTCTCTTACTGTTCAGATCTGATCTGTTTACAATTTCTCCCCCAGAAATACTTTTTTTCCTCATTTCCTTTCATTCGAGTTTTTAAGGTGACTGATATGGCTACTTTTTGTGCTCTTTCTGAATATAGAAGACTATATCAGTAAATTAATTGTATTATTTTGTAGATTAAAATAAAATAAATTCCAATGAGATTAAGCAGTCTGAAGTATGCATAGCTGCTAGGCTTTAGAGCTAGGCTGTGAACTTAGAGCAGCCTCATAAGAGAACTCTAACCACCTTCTGCGTCTTCCTGAGAGTCAGAGGTTCTTCTGTCTGTAGCCCTTGTCCAGGTCACACCACCTTCCCCTCTTCCCTGAGAGATCTTTGAATTATTCTTCAGAGCTCCTCTCAAATAGCCCATCTCCTGTTCTTTGCAGATTTCACTGTGTAGAAGAAGGTGCTTCTTCTGGGTTTCCAGAATGGTCTTTGCCCATGTATACTTATTGCTATGTGCTTTAGTTATATTGCATATATCCTTGGGAGTGGAAAACCTATCTTAATTAATGGTTGTCTGTACAGTGTCTTGGCCCTACTAGAGCCAGTTTAATTTTCTTAAACAGATGGCTCTATAAATGTCACTTATATAATAAGTTCATATTTACTTTTTTATTTTCATAGGGACATTACTTTTTTCTACTTAGATATATAATTCTTGTAAAACTTGTTTTTCCATTTAATTTTTCTATTAACAACACTGGCAAGCTCTTACAAATAAAATACTTCATTTGTACCCCATTTCTTGTTCTTCAGCCCACAGTTTCCTAATTAATGTCTTTGTTCCCTAAGCACAGATATTTTCCTATACTATACTATATTACTACATTTTATTTTTCCAAGTTTTGCTTTCTGCTAGGCAACAGCTAATGTGTTAACATTAGTGATTCAGTCTTCTTGCTCCTAGTGTGAGTTTAGATGCTATTTTTCATCTGTAATCAGTGGTGAGAATTTCAGGCCCTAGAGAAGTAAAAGATATTTTTTAAGCAATGGGGACTTACCATTTTCTCTAGATTACAATCTTTGGAGGAAAAAAAATACCTTGTATCTGTCTTTTCTAAAGCCATTGTTCTAACATTGATATAAAGTCATTTGTAGATGATGAAATTGTTGTGTTGCCTCATGAATTATAGATAAAAAATGCTCATTTGTGCCAAGATACTTGAATTCTGAGATATTTCTTTATCACTATTTTCTTATTAAAAGATTGCATCCTTACTCAAAGATAATAAGGTCTCTCTCTCTCTCTCTCTCTCTCTCTCTCTCTGATATTTATATATGTCCATGTGCATATATGTGGGCATGTGGTGGTCTGTTGGGTACCTTCCTTGTTCACTCTCCACCTTATGGTTTAATTTTTTTATGTGTTTAAAAATATGTGTGAATGCTTTGCCTGCATGTGTGGGGAACCGTGTGCATGCCTGGTGGCTGCAGAGGTAAGAAGAAAGCATCCAACCCATGGGAACTAGAGTTACAGGAGGTTGTGGACCATGCTGAACCCAGGTGCTCTTCAAGAACAGAAAGTGCTCCTAACTGCTGAGCATCTCTAGGGCCTCCATCACCTTATTTTTGGAGGCACAGTCTCTCACTGAACCTGGAACTCATCCATTTGGATAGGGAGGATGGCTAATGAGTCTCAGGGGTCCACCGTCTTTTCCAATATCCTAGTCCTTCTGTCAGAGCTGTGCACTGCTGTACCTAGTTTTTGCATGGTAGATGGTTTTATACCTAAGTTTTATGTGTCTCCCTGGACAGCTTATATATCAGTTTAAAATACTATGAAAGCTATTCCTTAGGGGGAAATTTCCAGGTCAGTTGCAGCTTGATGCCTCCAAGTTCTGTGTCTGAAGCATCTGGTGCCTTTAGTAATAAGTCATACCTTCTAGTTCTGGGAGGTAACCAAAGGCAATGGCAATAGTTTATTTTGTTTGTGAGTCTCTTGGATGCTCAAGATTAGCCACTCAATAGAAGATTTGCCCTGCCTGACACTGTGGAGTTTATATATATATATATATATATATATATATATATATATATATATATATGTTTTACAGTTCTTGGAGTGAACATTCTCTCCCCAAATGGCATAATTGAATTTAAAATTTTTATGCATACATGTATACATACACATATATAACATATGTTTTTTAATATTTAATTTTTAATTTATACAATTTATTCACTTTGTATCCCAGCTGTAGCCCATTTCCTCGTCACCTCCCAATCCCACCCTCCCTCCATCTTCTCCTCCCATTCCCCTCCCCTAGTCCACTGATACGGGAGGTCCTCCTCCCCTTCCATGTGACCCTAGCCTAGCAGGTCTCCTCAGGACTGTCTGCATAGTCTTCCTCTGTGGCCCAGTAAGGCTGCACCCCCATCAGAGGGAGGTGATCAAAGTTTAAGTGAACATAAAACAATAGTTTTTGATGACTTTTTCAATCATCCTTAGTGTTCTTTCTCATCCTTCCCCTCTCTTTCTTTCTCTCTCACTCAGTATTGTATTCCCTCCTGCTTCCCATTTTTCTCACCTTCCTTCCCAACACTTGTGTCCTACTGTACCCCGTTTCTAGACCTCTCTAGAGTTCCTTCTTAGGAACATCAATGGTCCCTTTTTTTATTTTCTGGTTTCTGTGATTACTTCAGGATATATACTCTCATCTAAAGATTCTGAAAGAGTCCACAAATAAGAGGCATCTGTCTTTTGGGTTTCAGTTGCTTCATTCAGTGTAATACTTTCTATTTTCATCTATTTACCAACACATTTCACAATTTTATTTTTGTTGCAGCTGGATAGAATTCCATTGTGTATATGTAGCACATTTTTACTATCCATCTTTCTGTTGAAGGACATTTAGACTCTGATCAGAGCAGCAATAAACATCGCTGAGCAATTAAATTCAATGTGCTTTCATGATAAAGCCTTAGAGAAAACAGTACTGGAAGGGATGTACTTCAACATGAAAGAGGCTATATATAACAAACCTTTGGCCAACATCAACCTAAATGAAGAAAAATATTAATGTAAAAATACTGAAGGGGCATGGGAGGAGATGAGGGAGGGTGGGTAGGATTGGAAGGGAATGAGGGGGGGCTACAGCTGGGATACAAAGTGAATAAACTGTAATTAATATAAAAATAAAAACTTAATATAAAAATGTACTGAAGCATTGGCTTTGGTGGTATAGGTCAATTAATCCAAATTACTTCGAAGACTGAGGCAAGAGGATTATGAGTTCAAGAGAGGGCATAGAAAGGGAAACTTGGCCCCAGGAGATGGCTGAGTGTCAAGCCTGAAGACGTGACAGTGTTTCCTGGGACCCCCAAGTTATAGAGAACTAACTCCATTATACAAGTTATTCCTTAGCCTTTGCAATGCACTGTTTTATGCATGTACCCACACAAACCTCCACAACAAATAAAATTTAAAGTAAATTAAAAAAAAATAAAGAAAGTGAAGAGCAGAGACTGTGACTTTTTTTTTTCTAACTTTCTATAGTGTACCCATATCTAAATAAATTCATACACTAGTCGGTTTGGGAAACCCAAAAGTGAAACTTACGTCTCTTATAATACATTTATTATTCTTTCTATAGTTTTGTGTTGAGTCAAAGGATCCATTTCCTACTGTATTGTCTGTGGTGCTTCACTCACGGTTCTGCTGACTTCTCTGGAGCTGGAGTAGGTAGTGTAAGGGCTGGCTGTGCAGTGACTCATGCTACCCCTTTTATGTGTGGAAAGCAGTAGTTAAAATGCCTGGGACCATGTGAACCATGGAGGCTGGCAGACACTTTTCTTTTAAGTATGATAAGACGCAATAGCTCAAGCAGTAAGGACTGTGGTACTGTGAGAACTAGGGAGTTACTGGGAAGAGTGGGAGCTTGGTTTCACCAGAAAGCTGAAACCACCAAGCAAAACATGAATATTGAAAAGTGATTCTGGGTTGGGGTGAGGGTCAGTTTCAATGTTTCTTGTCCATCAGCAACATATGATTTGACTTTTTTAAAGTATGAGAGGTAACATTTTAAATTTTGTACATGTGTGTGTTTTGTTGAACCTCCAGAACTCCAGATCTGGGGGGTTGAGTCTAAATTTTTTTTTTTTTTTTTTTAGCATTTTAAAGTGACAGCAGTGTGACATCAAATGAGTAAGTTAAACTACCCTTTATCCTGTTTTCTTACTTTTGTACACTTTAGGCCCTCTGAAATTTGTACTGTAAGGTACAATAATATGTCACTGAAAATTATGCATCCAACTTTTAGTTTTTGTTTATTGCTTTCCAACAATATAAGTTCATATTGTGAAGAAATAAATCTCAAAATAAAAGACCACATTTTATACCCCAATAGCAATGTAAATGTGAAATAAAAATGAAAAAAGATCCACACATAGTAAGAACTTACAATCATCACAAAAATATTACATGTAGAAGACATGTGATATAGGAGGTCATTTTTGGACATCCTACTAGGAAAATTTTATAGCTAAATTTCCTCTTAAGAACATATTTTCAATACTGCTTATGTTAAAATACAATCAATTATATGATGATTACCACGTTTCTATACTGATTCAAGATATTATAAGCATACCTAGATACACACAATTCACAGAGTAATGGTTTAAAAACAAGTTATCAGCACTATGACTGCCAAATTTCTTTCAAAAAAATATCATTAGTTGTCTAGTATAGTAAAAAAAAAATGTTATAGTGTTTATATGATAAAAGCTAGCTTCTTTTTTCTTCTCTGTTAATTCTCTGTATTATACTACAAATTGTGTTACAATATTTGGGCACTCATTATATTTGGAATTAATTTCCTTTGTGAACTAGAAATCAATTCATAGCTTGGTTTCATTTTCATTTCTGCTTTCATTTTCATTTTGTATATTTTTCTAAATTAAGTTAACACTTGCAAGATGCCATCTTCGGTTTAAACTTTTGGATAGTAATCAAGAGCTTTTGGATTGAACAGTTTTTAGAAGTTTTTGGTACATTTCTGACTTTAAAAATCTGGGATAAGAATCCATTTCCATATGCATATACACAATCTTTTGAGCCTCTTCAAAGCACATTTGAGTGGGGTCTTGAATGCTTTTGATGATAGCTTCCCTTGTTGTGCTGTCGATGTTAATCTGAAAAATGAAATTATAGGTTAAGCGCAAAAAAAAATGTATATGCCTGCAAGGAATGCTTTAATTTACTGCCCTCTTTTTCAGAGCAATATGATAGTGTGGGCACAATTTTCATAGGTATCTAAAAACACTTTTAGGAAATGAAGTCTTTGCTCTTTATAAAAGTAAAAATCCACCATTAACATCTCAGGGATCTAAAGAAAGCTTGAAGTCCCAAACCAAGGAACTCTAGAAACCACTGCTTATGTGGGACATGCCAGTGGTTTGTCAGTGGTAGTCTGCAAACATGGAAGTCTATGAACTAGAGGGCTCTTTTTAAAGAAAATAGGAAATCGGTGGCTGATCTAAACTTTACTCTCGTTAATAGTCACAAATGTGGTGTTAGCCAACTGAGTCCTGAAATGGGAAGCAGGTGAGGGGAAGTGAAGAAACAGAGGGGAGAAGTGGTTACTTCAGAAAACTGAGAATTTCCAGAAGGGTTTGTAGAAATGTTTGAATAATAGCATAGGATTATACTGAGTGATGGCAAAATCGTATGTCACTCTCCATCATTGCATTTGGCATGAGATGTAATTTTCGGTTGTCTCTCTGTCAGGCACCTCAGTGTTAGGCAGCGTAAGTGGCAGTAGTATCGGCAACATGGATGTCAGGTGAGTTTGTTGGTTTATGCTAAAATGCAGTAGCACAGAGGACCAATGCCACTGGGGAAATGCTCATGCACATTTGAGGCACTTCAAGTTTAGGCTGCCAGAGAACTCTTCCAATGGCCCCTCTGTTCTTTTTAACTTTGCTGGGAGTTAAGGTAGGTCAATGGGTGGAGAATCCTGGCTCAAATAGCTCACCTTTGAGTCCTGATGTTACTGTTTAATAACTGTACCACACAGGGGAACACATTAAGTTATCTAAATCTGTCTAATTTTTAGGATTTGTGACCGAAAAATAAAATTAGTAATTCTTAATTTATACCACTTTTAGGAGACATTAGGGCAAAGTATGCCTGGCATACAATGATACCTGAGTTAGTTGTGTTCTTCAAGGGCTACCCCACTGCCACGCCCACCATAGGGGATACCCCACTGCCATGCCCACCGTTACTACCTCTCGAGGAGACTGTGGTCGGATGTACATGTTGTAAAGCTTTTTGGCCCTAGAAATTCTTCCCCTCCGCGAGGCAATTTTCTTGTAGGTTTCACAGGCCATCCAGAATTTGATGTTCTCATCACTGTGCTCCAATTTTAAATATGCTGTGTATACTATTGGGCCATCTGAAAGTAGAAAAATGTGATTGTTTTCATGGGTTAACAGTCGTCATTTAAACAATAATTCATGCAGTTTAATAGAGAAGCCCGAAAAAGAGCTCCAAAGATGCAGAACGAGTGGATACTATAACTTTTATCAGACACACGCTCACGTCTCTGCACCTCTGAAGCATGTTTAACGGTGCCACTAGTTGCTGAAGTCACCCCTTTGATCTGAGTCACTCTGTGGAAAATACTTGTCAGTTTAGATGTTCCTATGGCAGAAAGGCCGGGAGATGTCACAGGAACCCACACAAATGACTTATGCTCCATAGGCAGACAGAACTGTCCTCATAAGGTTACATTGAAGACCTCACAGAAGAGTGATAGGTAAGAACTAGGTTAACAATCTGGAAAGTTGGGGTAGGGAGGAAACTATCCAAGCTATGTCTGAGTGATACTTTGATGAGCCAGAGCTGTTTCTCAGTGTCCAATCAGCAGAACAGGAGTATGAAGCACTGAACATCATATTCATAGTTTATGGTTCAAAGCAGAAATAAGGACCAAGTAAGGAATGGAATCCAAAGGGATGTTGGACATCCTCTCAGAACCTAACACAGGGCAATGTGTTGTGTTGAACATAACTGTCAGACGACACTTGATGAAAAGATGGTTCTCTTCAGCTCTGGTTGTGAGAAGCCTCTGGGTGAGTAAATGAGTAGAGGTCCCATTGCGCAGGAGCTTGTGCTCGTAGATTAGACATGCTCCCATAAGTGTAGCTTGTTCCTCATCATTGCTGGGAACATCAAGCAGTCTCAAGGCTTGAGATGAATACTTTGAGAGTGACACGATACTCCTTTTGGTGACTGTTAAGTCTTTCAGCATATCTGAGACATTTAATTGCTAAATTATAAAGTGACAAAATACCTTTCCAATAATGCTAATAGGATTTTGTTTAGTCAGACCGAATACAAGAACACTTATAGAATGACAGTGAAGATTTTTTTTTTCTCTTACAGACACTCAGTGTATCACTTAATGTTTGCAAGCTGAGGTCAGTACTTGTCCACGAAATCACAAATTGTGCCATAGTGCCAAAACTCTTAAGTATAGGATTTTACTAACAAAATTCTGATTGGTATCATTAACTGTCATGAGAAATAGTGATAATCAAATGGCATAGAAGTGATGAGTACAGTCAGACTTTCCCTCATCTTCATTATTAGGCCAGTTTCCTAGCACTAGAAAATCAAGCTACATGCTCCCTTGATTATCACTGATTATATAGTCAGTGAAATAAGAAGAAAGACAATATTTCATATTCAGAGAAAGTAACAGAGTTACAGATAGAGATACCATTTATAAAACCCATCAGGCTTGGGGAAGGCTGGAAATTTGCCAGAAATATGCTCTGTAGGGGATACACAGACCTAGAGCCCAGCTCATTGTCATGTGGGCAGTTGAGCCTGCAGTACAAGAGGTGGGAGAACAGATCCAATGAGGGCACAGTGCCCATAGGCATGTAGCTTTGTAAGTGACATAGTTAGACGTTACTACAATTTGGGAAACAAAATGAAACTTATATTTCAAATAAGAAGTTTGTTTTCCTGCAGTCACAATTTTACAGCAGTCCTTGCCTAACCATATGCATTGAAAATTGGGAGCAGAGAACACAGTTCTGGTTACACACTTTTAATTTGCATCACTGGGCATACTGAAATTTAAAATTCTACTAGAATATCTATGGTAAATATGGTAATATTTATGGTAAACATTCTGTTTTATTAAAAGTTGTGTTTTGTGGTTAGAGTTTTCCTGACTTTTCTATTCTCGTTATGTGTTAAAGACAACTGTTAGGCTGCTGCATTATCTTCTGTTATTTGCACATTATTCTGAGGTACGTTTGTAACAGTCTTACGTGAGAAAGCTTTAGTCAGTTCGCTGAATGCTCCTTTCAGTTTTGCCAGGAATTTTATTAAAGAAAAAAGTTCTTTACAAAACGAATGTGGTCATATTACTATGCCCAACCAATGCCTTCCCATGACTCAAATGATGAAGGCCGGAGCTTTTGACTGCAGTAGTCAGGCTCGTTGGACACAGAGTTCTACCCTCCTCCCAGCTCTACTTATTCACTTCCAAATGTGGTGCCCGAGTGCTTAGATACACTTCTCAGCACACTTCGTGGGTATGTGCTATCTCATTCATTTATAGTGTTCCTTTCCTGTGTCGTGGTTTATACCTCAACCCTAGGCTCGGCTTGTAGATCACAATGTCAGGGAAAAGTTGCAGAAATATGCCTTGTTGGTTGACAAACAGACCTAATATATAGAGACTCTATATTTCCAATAAATATATTATGGTCTGCCATATTTGTTGATTTCCTCCCATTCAACTGAGAAGCTATGAGAATTAGGACTGCAGGTTATTAAGCACAGAATAAATGGTAAGTGTCAGCTACCGGTGGATAAAAGCTTTATAAGCCAGACTTCTGTATTCTTTATGCTTCTACATTTTAAAGAACTCTCTCATAAGTTGAAAACTGAAGCAGGTCTGATCATTCCCCCTGCATGAGGCACTGAAGACCTGAAGATTATAAAAGTATACTATTGCTTTTATTTTCTGACAGTGGGGGGGAAGTGCTAGCTGAACAACCGTGTCTATAAAAGGCCATTTCTTTTTTCACCCTGCCAGGTGAAAAGGTGCATGAGAAACTGGAGAAGACAAAAAGTGCTAAATGGAAAGGGCTGAGGCAGAGTTGTACAGTAATATAAAGTGTGACAAAGGTAACCATAGCAACAGCAGTGGTTAGCAGACGTTAGGATAAATGATAGTGTAGGAAGCTGCCAATCCCGAGTGGGAGGTAGGGAATCTCCCACAGATGAAGAGAGCTGAGACAATGCACAGAGGGAACAGGAGCCACCGCCGGGAACTTCTCATGCCTGCTCTGTGCCCCTGCAGCAGTGAAGATCCTCCACCAGCCTGATCGGTATCGCTGTGGAGAGGTTTCATTGCCTTGAGCAGCTTGTCAATCCTACACTGTTAAATTCTTCATTTTTTTAAAAGATTGTCTCCCTGTGACTATGATAATTTAGAAGGAGGAGTATAAAGTACATTCAAGTATAATTTTTGACCCAGAGTAAAGGATTAATGCTAGTCCTTATTCAGAACCCCTGCCTATCCAGAATATCAGTGCTGGGCAGCTGAGTGGGACACAGGACAGCCCACAGCTGTGCTTTCTGAGTTAACATGATCACTGTGATCATTTTAAATGGTCAGTCAACAACGTGCAGTTGTCAACTGCTATTTCTCTGATATCATAGCCCTAGAATTTACCAGAAGGGTTATTTGGACTCCTTTTGCACTGGCTGAATTTCTTCCAGGTTCTCTCCTGCCTTTGCTTTCTTTGGTGCTTTACATTTCTGTTTATTTTTACCATGTTAGCCCCCTTCCTTTCTGTCATGTCTTCCGCTCTGTCAGCTGCCATCAGCAGATGATCATGTTACTGGGTTCGCAAAGTGACCAAAACAATTATTGACACCGCACTCCTTCCTGCTACTGACCACATGTTTCCTTCCCTTCTCCGTTATCTGATGTATATTTATCATGAGTGTGTGTGTGTGTGTGTGTGTGTGTGCGCGCGCATATGCGCAAGCACATGGGTATGTTTTACGAGTCTGACAGTGGTTCAGTAGGCTAGGCTGGGTTGCCCTCAGGCTCCAGCGGTCGACCTGTTTCTGTCTCCTCTGAACTGAGATTATAAATATGCCCAACTATGCCCAGGCATTTTTTCTTTTTTGAAAACGCAGGCCCTGGAGACTGAACTCAGGCTCTCACACTTGCAAGTTGAGCATTTCACTGACTGACGTATTTCTGTAAATCCTACTTTCTCTTTTTCTTTAAAGTTTATTTTTATTTTTAACTGACATATAGTGACAGTATGTTGTATATATGTGATATTTCAGCCTATGTGTACTGTATATAATGATTAGATTAGGATAATTGACATATTTGTCAGTTCAGACATGCATTTTCTCCTACCTATTTTTATATGTTAAATTACTTGTCTTCAAACATAGTCATCTTAGTGTTACACTAGCAGCTATTCTCATAAAATTATACCTTTGGGTCCATTTTTTTCCTTTTCTCTGTTCTTACTTGTCTCACATATTGTTCGGGAGCTGGAGACCAAGTTTTGTTCTCTACTGCTTTGAGAATAACATTTTAGATTCCACAAATAAATGAGAACATGTAGTATGTCTACATGGGTCTGATTAAGTTCATTTTTAAAACGTGTGTGTAGGATGTGTGTGAGTGCTGGCTCAAGCATGCCAGGTGGAAGTCAGAGAATAATCTAAGATGTCATTCCTTACTTTCCAACTTGTTTGAGGCAGGATCTCTGGCACCACAGTTTTGCAGGATCCTTCTGTCTCCACCTTCCATCTTTCTGTAGGGATGCTGGAGCTGCGAGTGTGTGCCACTGTATCTGGCTCTATTGGGTATTGGTAATCTGAACTCCAGACTTTAAATTTAAAAAAAAGCACTTAATCCACTGAGAGATCCTCCTAGCTGTCTGCTTTTTTACACAATTATCTCCAGATGTATCCATGTCCTTGTAGACAACAATATTTCATTCTTTTTATGGTTATACAGTATTTCATTAAGAATATGCACACACATATATCAGTCACATTTTCACTTTAATTTTTTTTTTATCAATTTAAACAGCTTGGCACTGATGTTCATTCCATATCTTGTTGATGGAGAAGAGTGTTCTGAAAAATTCAAGTACTGATGTTTTCCCTACATTCACATTTCAACTTCTTTGGCTCTGTAGAATGTAGTGAGATGGCTGGATTATATGGTAGTTTTATTCATTTTTGTGTTTTGAAACTCCATACATTCTTGACTTAATCAATATTAGCACCAACAGTGTACAAGCAGTCTTCGGTATTCACAGCCTTGCCAGAATATTATTGGATTTAAATTTTTTTTATTAAATACAATTTATTCACTTTGTGTCCAAGCTT